CACCCACAACCCACAACAACCCACAACCACGTTATTCTTTAAAACAACACTATATGGTGCTGTTGGTTAGAGATGGTTTGAACATGTTTGGGGCCAGATAGTCGAGGGTGGTAAGGGAGGGCAGATAGTTTGGGGTACCAGGATCGGCTCGTGCTTTTGGCTCAGCCTAGCGGAAGCGGTCTGGACGACGAGTTCGGAGAAGCGAACCGATCGTCCGATCGTCATATCTGATACCCTTCAAGCAGGATGAACCCAATGATGAATATTAATATATAATACTATAAAACTTTATGATATATATATATATGCGCTACCCTGAAAACTTGGTTCCAATTCCAAAGATGTGCAATTTTTGTTTGTTTTGTTGGGGTGTTGCCAGCATACTCCACGGGATTTGTGCCTGGCGTTCCGAGGAAGGCTACCTTGGAAATAGTTTCTATTGGATTTAACTTAACTAGATCATTCTGATCTAGTGTTTCGCTGAGGCCCCTGCCAGGTGTGCAGGGACAATGGAGACTGCGGTTTGAACAAAAGTGAATCACTGGGGTGCTGCTTCAGCAGTTGAACCTATGGGTCAATTCAATAATTAGAAAGAGGTCAGTTCTAAATGGACGCCACTACACACATATATATATATAACTACTTGCAAACTTGGTCATTGGTCCATCTTGGCCCCCAATTTCTTTTAGCCGTTCAAGAGTAACTTTGACAGCTTGGATGGAACATGACCTAGCCATCCCCAGAGAACATGAATGGCTATAGACAAATACAATCAAATACATGTGGCAGTAGTGGGGCAATGGGGCAACCTACGTATGCTTGTTGGCTCGTGCTGGTTCTGCCACTGCCCACGTTTCGAGGTATCAAATTTGGTTTGGGCCTTTGCCACTTTGGATGTTTGCCACGAAGAGCTCTTCGCCGTCTTCGCGAACTATACCGACCCTTGGACAGGGATTTCAAACAGGTTTGGGGCTGGTGAAGCCTGGCGGTTTCCGTTGTTAATGGCTGGAGTGAGTGCTGGAGTGATCCAGAAAGTCAGGGTAATCGTAGCCCCCCCCGGAGCCCATGTTGAGAGAATGCAGAGTTAGATTTGACCATCCTACGGCGGTCTGATTGTTTGGTTCTACGTGATGATCAATGCGTATCCTTTGGTCCCGAGCATGAAAAATGCAGTGTTCTTGACGAGGGCAGATGGCGCCATTTTACTTCCGTATGCTGCAGACAATGGCTTGAGCGTGTCTAAGAAGCATGGTCTGGTCAACCCATATTGGATATTCTGGCAAGCGTTCTCTCCTTTGAGGAGAGCCTTGTGCACTACATCTAAACAAGCGGGCCACGGCACAGCATGTTTTTTTTCTGTTCTACTCCTCATTGGTAGTGCGTCCGCCCACGCGTGTTTTTTTTGACAGCAGATCTAAGATCTAGCAGTGCTTGATGCAACGCATATTGATGCATATTGAACTCCCACCGCAACGCCACGCTGTAGGTCTGTCAGTGAATGACAGGTGCCACCGGCCCCCCTGTCACGATGTAATCAGCTAACCTGTTGATTCTTTTGGGGGCCTGGGCAGGGTGAGGCCTCAGGCCTCAAGGCAGTCCCCCCAGGACTTCGCAGGGCTTGCGGCGAAATGGTGGAGGCTATGGCGAAATGCATGTCAAATCGGGTCCCACCATCCAAACCGACCGACTCCGACCTTCAAGAAGCACCCACAAGCGCCAACCCACGCGCCCGATCTGCCCAGATCGATAGCGGGCTTTGGCGGCAGTTTTCCCCACAGATGGCTTCCAACATGTTGTGGGCCTATGGGAAGGCTGGGAAGGGCGAAGAACGCAAGACCCGCAAGGGGCTGGTTTCCTGGTCACAGGTCACCAGGGAGTTTGAACAAGCTGGTCTTACATAAAACAACATAATTGGTTGTCGATCTAAAGGTCCTAGTCAGCAGTGTGTATGACGATGACCCGGAACATATCAAAATCTCATTTGGCGAAAGTTTTTTCTCGAGTTGGCGAAAGTAATTTTTTTTTGGCGAAAGATCTGGCGAAAGATTAAATATGTACTTTTGTATGAATGTTCATTTGCTTTCTGAACAGCTGGTGGCAGTGACTCAGAAGCTAGATGAGCTGTGGAAGTTAGATAACCTGCTGCTGCTGCGGCTGCTACTACTACTACTACTACTACTACTACGACTACCACTACCACTACCACTACCACTACCACTACGACGACGACGACGACGACTACTACTACTACTATTCCTGCTCCTGCTTTGGGGGGTGGCTTTGCCACAAAACTCTACCCCGCAAAAGGCGAAAGTTTGGCGAAAGTTCAGCTCAAGATTGGCGAAAGTTCACCCTGCCGCATCTGACCCCCAGCCCATTATGAGTAAGTTTGAGTGACCGGCTACTACAGTGATTCTTGCGATTTTGATTCTTGCTGACACCCAGGAGAAACAAAAGAGACGTACAGGGTGTCAACAGTTAAGTAGAAGACACATGCTGACAAACAGTGAAGTTTCTATTTTGTCTTTGCCAGTAAAGAAGAAGCCATAGACGTGAACAAAGCACAACATACATGGCACACATAAATACAACGTACTTCGGCGAAAGATAAAACGCAAGAAGGCGAAAATTTGGCGAAAACAATTTTTTTTGGCGAAAATGACGGATCCCGGATAAAGGAATTTAGATCAACTCCCAATTCTGGAACAGATTCCTGCTATATAGTACGGGGCTACCTCAAAAGTGCATTGCCCCCTAGGAAACCAAAGGAGGTGTGAAGAACATGAGGAACCCTTGCGGGCTTGACCTTAAGGGGTACGGGGTCCTTTTCCATTGTCCGTCCAAGGGGTACGGGGTCTGGGTTCCCCAAATGCGAGGCGCCGTTGAGATTGACTGGCCGGTGTCATATAGCAGTGCAGAGCGCCAGCATTGGTTTCCCCATGTTTCCCCAACACTCTTGGCCAGCGCATGCCAGGTTTCCCCAAGCCTTTTGAGTGGTCACACTGATGCACTTCGAGTCACTAACATCGAAGTTCCAATTGATTAGCAAGCCAGTTGTGTTCTGCAGCAAATCCAACCCTTCACCAGAGATCTTGTCCCACTTGCGTTCACAGGCTGGACTCGGACTCGCAGGTCGGGATTGCTCACATGCGGCTGTTCGACACCTTTGCCGAAGCTTGGTTTGGCACGGCTGTTTTCGCATCTGAACGCCTGGTATGGCGCGGCCAGAGATGTGGTGCGTTGAGATGGACTGGCCACTGCACAGGTACATGGTCACAGACAGGAAATGACAGGAGGGCGTTACTTCATATGGTTTGTTAGATTTTGTTAGATTCACCTGGGACCTACACAACATGTTTGCACTTAGAAGATGCATGTTTTGCAAAGTGTGTCCTGTGCCGTGCCTTCAAGGAATACGTAGCACTGAACATTGAGTCCTTCGACAATCAGATGCTCAGCTCAACAGCAACAGGTGCTTGCAGGTCAAAAGCTGTTGGTCAACCTTCCTCCTACATACAGAGGCAAAAGGCTTTCTCCCCGGCTGGTAGACAGCCCTTGGAAGGTGAAGAATCAGGACCACCGGTGCATGATCGACATAGATGACATAGAAGGTAGCATCGCAGCTTAAAAATCAGCATCAAAAACATGAGTACAATGGGGTTTTCAGCCGCTTTCCGTGCCGTTGTCCAACGGTTGCCAACGGCAAACGCCCCTTCGTGTGGAAAAGGTTCCCAAGCTTTGGTGTGAATTGTTCCATCAAAACTGAGCATCCCAGAAACCATAAAGTAACCTGCAGTATGATGAACCAACATATTCTTTCTCGGTCTCTTTGTCCATCTACGGAGCGGTCAGGAACCTCGCCAACTCTGCATGGGCCTATGCCACCACACAGCTTCCCAGTGCGCCAAGCTGAAACGGAGTTGACTCCGCTTGTTGCTCTTGGACTGTGCACATGTTTAGAATGAACAATTAGAAATAGATACCGCTGCCATTGCAAAGCTCTGGGACATTGAAGGCATGGGGGATGGGAGGGGGAGAGAGAGAGAGAGAGAGAGAGAAAGAATACCCGTGGTGATTGGTGATGATTTTGATGTTCGTAGAATGGAAGCACCACAACACTTGGCCGACTCCAGTCCCCTTTCCACCGCGAGTGGGGCACTTTGTCATTATTGCAATCTATTATTTATCTCTATTGCCCATGCTGCCAGGCCTGACCTGGGTGAAAACTTTCGACTGGGTGGTGAAAAATGAAGGGGCAGGGACGAACTATGGTTCAAGAATGAATCATTGGCATATTTGTGATGTGTTTTGACGTTGTAAGAGTTCAAGAACTTGGCTGCTGGTGATGGCACAGCCTGGCTGTCCAGCAAAGACACCAAGGCCAGCAGGTCTTCGATGTGTTGACCAAGCGCGCCTGTGGTCGCTTGAGCACTTTCCGGCTTGATGAGCTCTGTGGGATCATGTCAGGGCCTAACTGTGCCATCTCTGGGACCGAAGATCGGTGGGCCTGGTGGTGGGATGTGCTTGGCGCCATGGGTCAGACAGAACAACCACTCCATACCACCCCCAGTTACATCCACTGGCACAAAGCAACAAACAATATACAAACAATACTTTTTTTTTTGCTTGAAATTTGCCGGTTGCATGCACCCACTTTAGACAAATGTATATCTTATATGTAATCTCTATTTATTTGTATCTGTGTATATATACACATACGCATACGCTACAGTTGCATTATTAGCTTTCATGTGTGCAATCCTTCACGACCTAAGAAAGTTCGGGTTTGCCAACCTTCGGATGGGCCCTCACAGATGGGGAAAGCACCTCCAAGCGGTTCACCTATGTTGGCCTCCCCTTCTTGACTTGTCAGTGCCTGCTGCAGGTTTAGCACCCGCTGATGGGAATCCCTCGAGAGCCGTCGAGATTTCGAAAGAGGCGGTCCAATCCTCTTCGTATTGCAGTGGGTCAAAACCTCACCCTACTGCAAACCATGGAAGGTTGATATCCCTTGTAGATCCTTGTAGAGTAGTAGAGGGATTTGTTCATTTTCGGTGGCTCACCCGGCATCACCCCAGGCTCCCCTTGTTGTGACACAGCCGCAAGTGCAAAGAGGTGGGCCTATGTCCGTGCGAAGCCTGAGTCAGAAGCTTGACGGCAGAGCGCCAGTGCATGCGCATGCGCCTGGTGCTGACCTTCTCGTTCGTTCGAGATGAAACATGGGACAAGAGCTGACGCAAGTGAAGAAGACTTTTTTTCGTAGGCTCCTGAATTGGCTGTATGTCTTTGAGCTGAAGGTGTGATCAGTGCACCGAGTTTCAAGACCATAGAACTTGTGTCTTTGCAACTTCTCGAAGATCCGATCCACCCATCGAGTTGCATCCGAAACGGTCCATGGAGAGACGGTGTGATGACACTTCTTGGCCCTAAAGCGGGGGTCTGGGTGGCGGATGATGAGGTGGCTTTCAGCCATATCTTCGAGGAGTCCGTGCAGCTGCTCCTGCCCAGAGTCCAGTCATTAGACTCTCAAAGCGTCGCGAATGCCACTCGGCGGGGCGGCAGGGAGAAACTCAGTGCTGCATTCGAAGACGTCACTGATTTGGTCGTGCTCCAACCTATGGCAAACATCCTGATCCGAGGAACGTCCTCAAAGCTCCTCATATGGGCAAAATCCTAAAAGCTAAGGACTCCGGAACCTTCCCATGAGTCCCATGCCGTAGGCCCCACCAGAGAAGGGGTGATGTGCCATGCTGCCAGACTTCAACCACTTGAGCTGCCAAGGTGATTTGGATCCTTGCCACCTGTCAGCAGCTACGACAGCAAGCTGTGCCACAGGCACGCGAGCTGGTCGAGCCTGGGATCTGCAAGCACGGGTAGTCTGCGAGGGGACCAGGTGAGTTGGAGGAGTTCATCGTCAGGATGACAAGCGAGATGATTACTAGTTACACTCTGACGAAACTTCACTAACATGGAAGTGGATGGCATTGTCCCGAAAGAGAGAGTACTTTCCTTTACCAACAGATGGTGAACTCCACTTCCATGTGATGTGTTCGTCGGAGTGTACCATTTGTAAGCACCCACTGGCCTCCATCCATACTGCTTGATCGATCCGACTTCGCTCCATAGCTTTAATGAGCTGTTTGTTTTGCACCTACTGTAGTAAAGATCGACATGTGAACTCAAATGCATTCGTATACTTTACATCCCGACACGAGCCCATCACCTCTTCAACTCTGACTCTTTCTCGCCCCTCGTGAGTGCGGGCGAGCCGATGAGTGCGTTCGAGACGTGGCTCAAGACGATGACAGGGCAATGAACCCTGTAGGGCCGAGGACCTCGGCCTGGCCACAGGAGCAGCGGCGGTTTCGGGGCGGCTTCGGGGTGATGGGCGCGGTGCCCATGGGCGCCGCCGGGGTGTGAGGCAAGGCAAAGAAGACCAAGAAAGAACAGAGCTTAGCTATAGGTGATGGTTTCGGATTCTATTTTCAACCCTTAAGTGGGGGATGATTGGACCCTCCGATTAATATTTTTCAAGTAGGCTGAAAACACCAACCAGATAGACATTAGTAATAGTGTTGAGAGGGTTTGCGCTTCCAAAAGCTTTGATGTGACACGTCCTGTGCGAGATTTGCCTCAAGCATCCTCAAGCCGATTTCCGTAGCAGACCACCTGCAGCATCAGCTGTTGTCCGCTTCAGGAGACCAGCTGCACGACCCATGGCGCAGTTGATTGCTGGCAAATTCCAGGCAGGGCCGTTGATTGCAGGCTGGGGCAGGGGTTGGCGCTGCCTTGAATGGGGAGATCTGGCCCAACAGGTATAGACAACCTTCCGGGTCGGAACGCCTGGGAGGTCTTCCTAGGAGATCATGCACACCAGACCAGGTCTCCACGCAACCACCAGGTACCACAATTTCGACCACCCAGAAAAGCCCGCATCGGCTGACGCTCCCGAGGTGTCAGAGAAGATCGGCTCCGGCTCCTTCGGCGACATCTACATGGGCACCTTGGGAGCAGCGCGAGGGATGGGGCGCTGGAAAGACCTGCGAAGAATCGGGCACAAAGAGTCACAAACCAGCAGTCACAAGACGGGGTGCCTATTGGAGGATAGGGGTGTCCATTATCCACTCACTGGATGGGACTAAAAACCGTCCCTTTGTGACTCCTGGAAGAGGCCTTGCATTCGAGATGGCGGACGCCACAAGGTCTCTGAGTCGCAAGGTCTCTGAGATGGTGATCTCTACCCATGTCTTTCGGTCCGTTTGACCTAGATAATGCAATAATAGACCAATATTACCATCATAATCAATACAGTGTTGTCCCCCCAAACTTTAGTAACCAACCATTCACGAAAGAATGCCTTCTACAGCACCACCCATGACACTAAGTACCCGATGCTTGCAGCTTAAAAACAGAGTATCGCCGAAACACAACATTGCAAAAAGAGCATCGGAAATCCTCGGCCTAGAACCGCCAACTGCCAAGGCATCAACATCACCACTGGAGCTCCAGTGGCCATTAAGTTGGAGTCGGTGAAGGCGGTGCATTGCTGGGTGGAATTCTGGGAAGAGTGGCCCCCGAAGCAGCACAAGCTCAACTGTCAGTCGTTGATGTGAGGCACAACTTTTACGGTTTTCTGGGGTCCCAAAGGCCACAATTCCGAATTCCACTGTGCAGGCCCAACATCCGCTGCTGGTTTTCGAGTCCAAGCTCTACAAGCTCATCTCCAATGGTGTCACTCGGTTTTTGGTCCTTTTCGCACGCCAAGGTATCTTAAGAGGGAGGTTTTGGTGCGTTTTCTGGTTGATCGATGAGACTGTTCAGGCTTCCTGACCTCCAGCTCCCGAGCGGTTGGTGGTCGGTGCGACTGGTCATTGGTTCGACGGTTGAGTTCCCTCGAATGGCTTCTGTCCGATGTCATTTGGAACACCAGATCTCGGTCGTTGGGAGGGGGGGCCAGATCTAGGTCTGTAAGAGACTCCGGACTTTAAGAGAAGCCCCTTCGCTGGTGGTAAACGATGATGTTCTTCATGCAAATTGGAAATGGCAGATGGGTGACCAGGCGTACTCTTCTTGCATCCAGTTGCAAGATGTTGCAAGCTTCCACGTCAAACTGTACATCCTGCGCGCGGTGTTTCACATGGGCTAATCTGACTCCACTGGTGTTGGAGCCCATGTGTAGCGCAAGTTAAGCCCATCTACCAGGATCATCCAATGGGCAACTCATGGACCATGCTAGACTGACTGGGCTTCTATGGATGGTCCAGGTACTTTATGTACTTTGAACTTTCACCCCATTGTTTGGCGCGGCTCTCAGTAGTGCTCTCAGTGTATGTCTTTTTTTTGTCCGTTTCAGGTGCAGATTCCAGCCGTGCACTGGTATGGTGTCGAGGGTGAGTACAATGTTGCTGGGCGGCAGTGTGGAAAGGAATCAACGAACACTGGGGTGTGTATTCAAATAAGGAGACCTCCCAAAGACCCGTGGTAGTTTCTTTTGGTCCAACACTCTTTTTTTGTTGGGTCTGCCGGTCTGCCCATTGACATACACACCGACTTGTGAATCATACCGTCAGGCTGTTATCGGGTTGCCATCAGACCTCCAATCCCAAGGTCATGGTCATTGACTTGCTCGGGCCCTCTTTGGAGGAGTCAGCCTGTGGCGATAGCGCTTCCTTTGTTAGGTTGATCTTCGAACACTCCTGGGGCTGCTGGATGTTCTTTGTTCCGACCGCGCCGCTGGACCGCGTGCCGGAGGTACAAAACAGGTTTGTACTGCTGGTCGAGAGTAGTTCATGTGGGGAACATGTAGTTTCCTCATGTTTCCTCACTCTGCAGCCGAAGCATGACACTTCGAAGATGAACATGCTCCCCTCCCTTTTTTCTCCCCTCTTCTGGGCACCAAGGAGGGAGGTGTGGGGACGCCTAATGGGGCTTCGACAGCGGCCCCCTCTTCTGGGTCAGCTTCGCCGGCTGTGTTCGAGCTGACCCAAACCACCCACCCAACCTGCAGTTCTCTTTTTCCGCACATGATTGCACCTCCCCGCCGGAAGTCGCGGCACCGACTCGACTCCGCAGATTCGACTCCGCGGGACCTCCTCGCAGCTAACGGACGCGCCGCGGCGGCATCGTCCAGTCGGCCCCGTGGGGCCCCACCCCACTGCGGCGCGCCTCCGCCGTTCTCCGCGTGGGGAGAGAGGACCTGTTCACCTACTGCGACCGGAAGTTCAGCATGAAGACGATCGCCTCCATCGGCCAGCAGATGATTGATGCCATCGAGCGGCGAGTTACGCAAGGGATGTGGCAGTTTTGGGAGAAGGACTGAGAAGGAGGTGAAGTGTTCCTCCTTTAAACATCCTTAAACAAATCCAATAGAGACATGGCATACGGCATACCGGGCATACCCATGTGACATGTTCTTTTGGAGGTCGCCATGATACGCCATGAAACATGCCGGTCCTTGTCCCGGAGCCCGGGGAAGAGATGCAACGAGGGAATAGCATTGTAAATGGCACAACCTGTTGGAAACCGCTGTGATGGTTTTGAGTGATTTATACAAAGTCCTCCAGTGCCAAATGTGTAAGCTTTGGGTATTTATATACAGAATTTCACACATATGCAAGTTGGCCACTGACCACAAGGTTGCAGAGTTTCCCTTCGGCAGCAATATGGAAAAAATGAAGCTATGCAGTCTTGATTTAGTTGAGGGAGCTTGTGGTCATGACGGTTCTTGTAAGGCTCCTTCATCGTCTCGCTCCGTGTGACAGCCCCAAATCTCCTCAGGTATGTGCATTCGCGTGGATTTCTGCATCGGGACATCAAGCCCGAGAACTTCTTGATGCTTGACTATCATGTGGCTGCCGTTGGGGTAGCTTGGGAGAATGAGATTTACAATCTACAATCAAGTCCAAGCTGTGGTCCGTGTGCTCTGCAGGACAACGAAGGTCCGACCAAGAGAGGAAGAGATAAAGTGAGAACTATCAAACAATTGCAAAAACATGTCTTTACGAAGTCTGGATTCATCAACGAATAATAGAATCTAGAACGCTACTCTATAAGTCCTGCCGAAACCTGAGTTGCCCTTTGCATTCAATGTATTTGCCACAGGTCAGGTCTATGTTTTGGGGGTTCCAGCAGTGCCGGCTCCCCGTGCGTGCCTAGATGAAGCCTTCCGCCTGGAGGAACACTCCACCCGTCGAGTGCTCCATTCGTTGTCCTGCAGGCCCCATATTTAACGTATTTAAGTGGTTTCACCCACACCATTGGCACTCAATGACACTTACAGTATACCATTCTGGCAGTCATTCTGGCATCCTGTGGCATCTCTAGCCCTGGTTTTGCTTAAGGCCTTTTTTTTTCCTATGGTTAAATCCTCTATATATTTAATCCCCGGTTCCTTAAGCCAATCCCAGCAGCCCTGCCTCTCTCAGGATGGGAGTTCAAAAGAAAGCGGGTGACGTCTACATCATCGACTTCGGCCTCGCCAAGCGCTATCGGAATCCACGCACCAATCAACACATCCCCTTCCGAAACGATCGTGGCCCGGCGAACGATACAGGTGGATGGTGAACACCTGGAAGGGGGAAGGCTGCTGGCAGTGGATGTTTGCTGGCAGTTTTCATCCCAAACTTGGAGGCTTCCTATGCTAAAATTGGGACTGCAAAGGTCGAATCCCTGAGAAACAAATACCATTTGAACCTGATTTTCACCAAACGTTTCCATATACTGTAATTAAACTATATGATCTATATGTTACATGTTCATGAAGGGATCTGATCCACACTCATCACATCCAACCACACCACGGCGCCGACAATGGCCATTGATGTCCTAAGACTGCACCGGTGCCGAGGCAA